TATAATAGATGATTTATCTATTAATCAAACTAAATTAATTAATTATATATAAATAAGAAATAAAAGATTAATATAACAAAAATGATAAATAACTCAATAATTCATGCAAACTGGTTTTCATGCAAATTGATTAGTGTAACTCTAATTGTGGGAATACTTACTCAAATATATTAGTAAAGAATACATGTACCAAGACCAGTATGATTTCCAAATGACAATAAAATACATCAAATTCAAAGAAGGTGGCGGCACTGAAGTCCAACCTGCGGCCGCCAAGGAGAGGAGATGAAACAGCTTCCCCCTCGACGGGAGAGGCAGGTGATCCTCTCTCTGAGAAAGACACACAGTCCAAAGCTGAAATGACCCAGGAGGTCGTGGATTAGATTAGTCCGCAGGGCCACATTACCCCGAAAGACGACGCTTCAGAGGGAGAGAAGAGGCATTTCTAAGACCTGGAGGAAGAAAAATTGGCCGAGACCAATCGAAACCCCCTTTTATGTTTGCAAAAATCAGGTGGCTGCATCTAACAATTTCCCCACATTTTTCCGAAAAACAAAGATGTTCCTCAAAGTCGAGAAGGATTCTTCACCGGCTGAGCTTCAAGAATGCCGTGTCATTGGAATCTTACCAAAGGACTGTTGAAATGTCGTGGATCTTTCGAATTATCTGAAGGACTAAGTGCTACTTTCAGAGGATTTTCAAGAATCCTTCTTTTTATGGTCAAGACTCCTAAACAAATAGCAACACACACAACAAGGAACCAACTCTAGACGTTGCTCAACCTCAGCGATCCGCAACTATTAGTCAAGAAATTGGAAACTCAGTCGTAGAATCTTGACTTATATCAGATTGCGGCAGTTACTCTTCACATTTAACTACAATTAAATGTAATATTCAGACCACACTAACTCTGGTTTAGGAAATGTAATTGTTTTTCTTTTGCATTATGTCTGATCATTTTTAGAAAATTGCTTATCTTACGATTGTACATGAATAATTCATAATCATTACTTTATCAATTATTGTCAAAGGCCTACAAGATTTTAGTTCATTTATATTGTTTTGAGATTTGAATAAATATATATTCCGCTGTCGGAGCGGAAATGGAAGGAACCATCATAACAAGGATTCTGCTCAAAGTACTTTAGTGTGCTCACCACAGATGCTTTGAATCTGGCTTCACTGGAGTCTTTTTCTCCCACTGCTGTGCCGTCTTAAGCAGCGCGGTCAATTAGACCTTTCTGCTTTCCTGAGGTCCTCTTTGGAGCTCCAGACTGCTTATCAATCCACTCCATCTAGCCCTTTCTTTCCCTAATTGTGGAAGAGCTACATTCTGTCACCATTCAGATCTGCAAAGTGTCTCTCCGTGTAAAAGGTAGTTCTGAAGAAACACTTGACAGCACCGTCTCTCCGCCAAATCACGTTTTATTTTACAAATCCCCTCCACTGCTTCTCTGAGCACTTTACCCTTTGAACGACTGCTGTGGAGTCCTACAGAAAACTTCATGGCAACAGTGCCCTGCATTTCTGATTTTTAACTTAGCTTATTATTACGGCCCTTGAGGAATTGAAGCCTGGTGGAGCGTTCCGTCCGGGCCGAGTCGCTCTCATGGGAGTGCCGGCTAAAAGGATCGAGTGTCAAATGGAAAGTGCAGCCAGGGGAAAGCTGGTGGGTGTCGAGGTGTTTCTGAAGCAGCTTTCACGTGTGTTAATGAGGGGCCTCGGCACTGTGAGCGATCAATAGACCCGCACCTGGACAAGGTTTGGTCGTTTGGATCACCAGTCATGATATCAACAAACACACATCAGCGGTGCGGTGATGAAAAGAAAGTTGGAGATTTCGTATTGAATTCCTAAAATGAAACCATACATCCAATAAGCCTCATCGTCAATTGATCCGAAAATGCCAAAACTTCCAATTGCTTCATCTGTCCAACCGGCAGTCTGATAACATAGTGAGAGTAAGCAGAGGAATACAGGAAGTCCTCCAGTCTGAGAACGTGGTATTTGTGCTTGATAATTAACTTTAATAACGTCACATTGAAAAGGTCATGAATGATTCATATAATTAACCGAATCAAACCTCCAATCTCAGCCAAACATTTAACTTAAACGTTTTTCCCACAGGAAATGTTGGACACTTTTGATAAACTTTAACTTCCCTTTTTTTCTTCTCTCACTGTTTATGAACAAATGTAGTGAGTAATTCCAGCAAGGAGCCTCTCGGCTGCTTGTTTCTTCCTCGCTTCGGTAAAAAGGTTCCAGGCTCTTTTAACGTTGGCCGGGTTTCCCAACGAAGTCATGCTTTCGTTTTCCATGTGATGATCTTGTACGAGGACTGACTTATCGTCCTCGTTGTGCCTTGTGAGCGTCTCATAATCAGGAGGATCTTGTTCTCGGTGCCACAACAACAATCTTCAGATGATGAAAGCCTTCGCACAATCACGTGTGACGCAGAGACCATCAACGACCCAATTACCCGGCTTTCTGATGGCGCCGACGACTTAATAAATAAAACACATCCTTTTGCTCAAAGGGGAAGCCTCTCTTAAGAAAGGACCTTCGATGGAGACGGGCCCGGTACCCGTGGGGCCCGTTGCCCCCAAAAGTGGGGATTATCCTGAGAGACGTTTGGTAACTGGGGACGTCGTCGTAGTCACGGATCAAACGAGACAAGAAAGGACGTGCAGTACAATCAAAGGCCAAGAGAGGGCAGCTGGATCCGCTCATGTCTGAGGGTTGTTTTCTTCAAGAAGCAGTGTGAAGGTCGTGACCTTGCACCTTTGTCACAGGGGGGCTGGTGTGTAGGAGTTATGCGCGTCCGCACTGGAAGCCTATCTCAAGTTGAACACTCGCGGCAGTGAGGATTAGTTTGTTATAACACTTTCTCTTCTGTCTGATGAAGATAAAAATGCTGGGGGGGGAAAAAAAGAGTGAGAATGATAAGATCCTGACAGTTAAGTCCAGCGCAGAACAGAGAAAAATACCCTACTATGTAAATGCATGTTCTTTAACTCGGCGCGTGCACGATCGTGAGACCCAGTTTGCAATGAACCAGACTCGTCCTTTAGCTTTTCCAAGACAAACGCAAACAAAGCCTCCTCGTCCCGCAGACCGAGCGCCGGAGACGCAACGCCTGTCAGTCATCGCTAACAGCCGCATTTTGGCATTTCAGTCAGGTACAAAAGGTGTGTTTGGTGCCAAAGTACCTCAAGTCAGACAGGCATCCAGACGCTGTGTGCCTGAATAACAATATTTCATCAGAGCAAAGCAGGAATACCAGCGGAGTGGATGAGGGGGAGGTTGAACACGGTTCAGTGTGGAGCTCAATCCGCGCGGTTAGGACTTTTAACACAAAGGCGACATGCATGCAACTTCAAGGTTCTCCAGCGCCATCTGTTCTCCATCTGAAGAGACTCCTGCCACCAAAAAGACACCACACCACACAGCCTGAGCGCTCGCTCCCGGCCTCATTAGCATAGAAATGACTCACACAAACACGCAAACACACACGGTGGCATCACACACACACACAAGCCTCTTCCAGTAGTGTGAAGAGGTGAATGTAGAGTATTAGTGGCTGGAAGCACACTCTGCTGGTGTCCATTAGTGTGTGTGTGTGTGTGTGTGTGTGTCCGTTGTTACAGGCCTGATGAAAAGGCTTTTAGGCTAATTACATGAGAGGAGTGTGTTTCCATCCAGATGACTTCTAATCTCGCGCTGCAACTCTCTCCCTCGCGTAAATATTATGCATTCAGACCCCACGCCGGTTGAATGGACCGCCGCTGCTGTTGGACTTTTTAATTAGGGGTTCATTTCAACAGAACAACTTGTTTGTGTGTGTTTACGAGTGTGTGTGTGTGTGTGTGCGCTGTGGGATCAATAAGGAACACGATGTCCTGAGAGGGACTTGCTCGGCCTCCTCGTGGTTAGTTTCTGAGGTCTGTCTTACTGACGTTCATTTTATTCCCCGTCTGTCACCAACTGTTTATGTTTTCAAAAGATGAATTTGTTTTAGCCGAGGCAGCACCAAATGTGATGCAACAGCGCCCTCTGCCCGGGAACCTCAGAACTGCACGGTGTTTCACTGAACTTTTTACATTACATTTCTTGACTTCTGAATTTGGTTTTCGGTCTGAATTTTTTTTTTTTAATAAGGAGAAAAGGAAATAAATTTGATATCATTTATTCAGCCCTGGATAATAACTTATTCTCAGAGGGCTGCACAGTTTTTACAACACTTGGTTTGGACGGGGAGGAACTCATAGAACACACACAAAAAAAATCGCTGAAGGGTAAAGAAGGAGAAGATAATCAGTGAGAAGAAGAGTCTTCGCCCGGACAAATGACGCGCTGCGGAACACTGCAACACTGAGGACTTCAGTGAGATTGTGTTTGAGGTGATGAACGTGAATCAGAGAAGACTTTCAGCCACAAAACCTCATCTCTACCACAAAGGCCGTGAAAGACGACTGTAAAAAACACAAAGAAGAAGAAACGCAATGCCTTTTAATTATGACATTTAGCTGTTCTGTGTTGATTTATTTTAAAAGAAAAGGTCTGGAAATTAATTCCTCATTAAATTTGATGATTTTGTGCTTCAAGTTTGATGATTCTCCTCAATCTTTCCCTATTTGTTTTCTAAAGAAGATATAAGTTCGTACTTTCCTCAACGTAAAACCAGATATCAGTAATAGCTTTTGCATAAATGTCATATTTAATTACAGCTTGCTATTAATACGTATTATGAATTAATTTTCATTTGGGGAATGTCATTTTTTTATACTTTGTCATCAATTTGCTACTTTAATCATTTGCTGGTTTAATAACTTTCAATTCATCCTATTTTTTTAATGCTGCGGACGCATTAGTACAATATCAATTTATGGAAAGAAAACTGTTTAAAAAAAGTTAAGGGATAAGAACAAACAATCTTAATAATATTAACTTTTGCTGGTTTTAATAATTGATATTCAGAGATTGGGTTCTTTGAAGACATCTTCGGAGCACATTTGGGGATTTGATTTATTCCTTCTCATCTCAGCGAAAGGATATAGGATTGGAAATTAAATGAGTTGATATTTTGTGGAATCCTTTTTTTATACAGGCATATATGCCAATTGAAATTAAAGTTCCTCTGATGTTAGAGGACCTGAAATGCTGATTAGTTAGCATAGTTCACCCTCGGCTCGTACAAGCGGATTCTCTTCGGGTCTGCTGCTCCATCCAGCTGGCCGCCTTGCGCTGGGTCCACTTTCCTTTGGCCCACAGTCACCATCTCAGCAGCGGGGACCCAACTGGCAATTTTGCGGGCACATTGTGCACACTGGCCCGGATCCCGCGGCTGATTAGTTGGTGTGGCGGGGAGGAGGGTGTCGGGGGGGGGGCGTCTAGAAGAGGGTGTCCTGTGGCACTGGCTGAGTGAGACGCTTATGTTTCCAGGGACACAAATCTCTTGGCTTGTCTGGCTGTTTGACAAAGACAAAGTGTGATCATTCAAAGACATGTTGGTTGCGGAACCAGATTAGAGAACCAAAAAAAAAGACTTGTGACATCTTTAGTCTGTTTCCAGGTTAAATATGGCTCCTATTCAGGGCATCTATATGCATACTTTTATCAGACAATGTTTTCATTGGTTGGTGGTCATCAGTGCTGTAGTGGTAAAATTAGAGGTGGGTAAACTGTGAATTTGGTGATCATACAGACCTCGACGCAATGTGAAGCAACGCAACACAAAGCGTCGCGACTCTGTAAGGCTGTCCTGGCTATATTGCATTATGTTATCAGTAAAAGTCATATACAATCAATGACAATGAATACATGTGTTGGTAGTTTGTAGTTCATTAAATCTATGAAAACAGTGAAGAAAAGTATGTCAACACAACACAACAACACAATTGCAGATTAAGAACTATCTACATACGGAGTCTCCTTTTCACAGTAGTGCCCTGAGGGCCTCCTTGTCCTCCACGTCAGGTGCTGCCTTCTCTCTCTCCTCTCTCTATTGGACCTGGTGTTTCTCCTCTCCCTGTGCTCTCTGCATCATTGGCTGTCCTCTCACTGCCTGAACAAATATGTTGAATTTAAGAGTTAAGCAGCCTGTCAATTACACTGACAACATAAATTAAAGGAACACTCATGTACTACCTATGTCATCATAAATAGCCTATACAGCATGTTTTTTTTTCACATTGAGAACTGACTTGTTTTCTAATCTACGCGTCACCAGGCGTTTTTCTTTTGCCGTGCACGACCAGCGAACACAGAGCGCGCGACTACTACCCCCCTCCCCCGTCGGTCGTTCCGCCCGCAACGACTACACGCCCCCCCCGTCGGACCTTCTCGACCGGTCCGCGAAATATTGTCTGACATGAAACCGGTCCGTGAGGTAAGAAAGGTTGGGGACCACTGGGCTGATCCACAGCGTGTGTTTACACACCTCCTGGATCCTGATTGGTGTCGCTGCTGCAGCCGCAAGGCATTGATTGGATGCTCACAGACCGTAATACAGCGCAGATGAACATGATTCAGACTACGGCGTTTATATGTTCAACAATAGGAAACGTAGTCTTAGCTGTTTTAAAATTACACCAAGTTTATTTCGGATTATTCCAACGGAAGAATACAAGGCGCAGGTAACTTTGAGGTGCGTAAACGCTATTTATAGGTGCGTAAACGCTATTTCCAAAATTCCAGAGGTGCGTAAACGGCGTTTACGTGCGTTTACCCTCCACTACAGCCCTGGTGGTCATCTGAAAATAAGAAGGGTTGAGTTTTCTTGAGCTTAGAATGAGCCGTTTGAATTCAAACAAGGCCGGGAGAAGGTCCTGTTAGTCGCAATCTGCAGCCTCGCCGCTAGATGTCGCCAAATCGTGCATCCTGGACCTTAGCCAGCCTTATTTAAAAATGGATTTGGTCATCTAGATTTGTCAAATTTTCAATCTGGGAAAGGGTTAATAAAAAGGCTGTATAGTTTACTTTGCTGCTAGGAGTTACTAAGTCAAAATATTGAGACATTTTTTGTATTATTTTTGAGGTATTGGATAATTATTCTTGGATGCCACGTCAATATTTCAAGACCCTCAGTCAAAACGTAGAAAACAAGTCATTATTTTGAGACGCCATGTCACTTTAATGAGATTTTGAGATCAGTGTCAAAAATAATAACTATCACAACATTTTGAACTTATTGTTTTGAGGTAAAAAGTCAAAATGTTGTAAACGCTTGTCATTATTTCAATATTTTTTGTGATGATTTAGTTTTTAGTGTTGGTTTTTGCGGGGTGCCCCCCTCCTCCTCCTCCTCCTCCTCTCCCGGGCGTGTCCCCTGTCGGTGGTCCCCGGGACCGCACCGCCTCCTCCGCCGGCCGGTGGAGCTGCCCTCGCTGCGCCGCCCAAGTTCACAGAGCTGCGGCGGTGCGCACGGAGCGGATGGTCGCTCCCCGCTGTTGTTTTTGGCCGAGGGTCGTCGGACGGACGAGCGATCCACTTCGTTTCACTCGAAACCCGGACGGACTTAAACATCTGAAACTTTTCTTCAAATTTACTTTTCATCATTTGCCGGTTTTGTTTCCTGTCGCTCCGGATTTTTTTTTTTTTCCGGCTTGTTCGATGGCGCGTTCCAACCAACATGGACCCGGATAGTCTGCTGGCCGCAGACTAGATATCAGACCACCCCTTTAATTCTAAATGTAGACTTTATTCTAATAACCCGCTGCAGACGCTTTATTTACCAAGTGGATGTAACCAGACTGGCCCCCCCCCCCTCTCCGCCCCCCCCAGAGGTCACACACTATAATGAACATTTCCCCGCTGGTGTTGCGGTGAACTTTTCCCACGACTCGCCATGTCGGGAGTGGTCCGCACGCTGAGCCGCTGCCTGCTCCCGTCCGACGCCAGCCGGGACCCGGGCAGCAGCAAGGAGGGCGGCCGGGAGAGCAAGGCGGCGAAGGAGCGGGAGGCGCGGCGCAGGAGCCGGGAGATAGACGCGATGCTCGCCCGGGAGAGGAGAGCCGTGCGCCGGCTGGTGAAGATCCTGCTGCTCGGGGCCGGAGAGAGCGGAAAGTCCACATTCCTCAAGCAGATGCGCATCATTAACGGGCAGGAGTTTGATAAAAAGGCGCTTCTGGATTTCCGGGACACTATCTATGAGAATATACTGAAGGTAAGAACAAGGGAACAGCTGGATTCAAATGGGTTTATAAACCACTGCTTTTATCTACTTTACAACGTTTTATAGTCTCTTGAATGTCTAAAAAAAACTCACAGAAGAAAGATTAGTGGATTCATTTATAATGTCTTAGATAATGACACACTCCTCGCAAATGTGGAGATTTGATGCGTTTCTTTATCCCCAATGATGAAATACTGAACATATTTGAACTTTGCACCCAGTCAGATGTCAACTGGGAAATTATAATGGCCATTGTTCACGTTGACATTTTATAGACTCAACAAAAGTCTGTCAGTCAAGAAAACAATCCTCAGATGAATCTGTTGTAGAAAATGTTTCTTATCATTCGCTGCCCTAATTGTGACATTTCCACGCCACAGCTGAGCCTCACACACACACACACACACACACACACAGACAGAGGTTTGTTGACATAGTACATATTTTTATCCCAAAGTGCTGTCCCTTTGTTTGCTATCATGGCTGGGCCTCCTCCACCGGCTAACAATACCACACTATCCCTGAGGGATGAGCACATCCGCCCGAGTGCCACACAGCCCAGACGAGGATGATAAGAGCCGCACTACACAGCCGAGGCTGTACACAACACCCCCCCCCCTGAAATACCAGCCTACAGCAGCGCCGCTGTCTCGGCCCCACCCCCGGGGGGGAACAGCGCCCCGACCCCCCCCCCCCAATCATCCCCGTGCACCCGTTTCACCACAACGTAACCTCCTAAAAACCCAACAAAGGCCGACGTGTAGGACAGGCCAACATTAAAACGTGATCACATGATGGGGAATGTATGTTTTGAACAATAAGGGGCGTCTTCTCCGACACGCCGGGAACGACGTGTTCACCGGCCCACAGGACTCAGCACTCCTTTATGGTTTGAGTTAAAGATTTCGTTTTCACACGGTGAAAACGGTGTTAATTGCTTGATTTGGAGTATGAAAAAATGAAAATAGTGACACGCAATTCCCTTAGAGGACACTTCATGCACCATCGGCTGAGGTGTTAAACAGCAGTTCCTGGTAAGTAAGTTCAGGTTTGGTCTCGCTGCTTCAACCTCACGCATGAATCTCTGCTCTGATTCTTGTCCAATCGGAATTCTTCATATTTACGCGAATGAAAGTGAACTAAACCAAAGACCCGCTGGTCCCGATCCAACTGCGTCAAACCTCGAACACCAAGCAGACTTTGTCTGATGGTCATTGTTTGTCCATCATTACTGCTTAACCAGGTCTTTTGTCGGACTCTAATCAATCAAGGGAGAACCCGAGCAATTGGTTAATTTTTAACAAGGGGGGGCCGGATGGATTGTTTAGTTCGCCACCTCTGGAGAGGCTCGTGACACTATCACAGACTTCAGGCCGCACATTCTACCTTTTAACAACCAGGATTTAGCATTTTGGTAACTTTAGCTAACAAGGGAGATTCGCTCCTTTCTTCCCCAAAAAACTGACGTGTTAGATGTTTGTGACGGCGTGGGCTCCTGACCGCCACGTCTGGTAGCATCAGGGGGCGGGGCTTAGTTTAGGGTTGGGTGACCGAGATAAGAGATAAAATGCCGCTTGATGGTTGTCGGCCCGCAGCCGTGTTTTGACAGTCCTTGACGTCTACCGTGTCCCAGGAACCGGACTGCGGGGGCGAGAAACGTCAGCGCCGCTGGGGCGGACGTCCTGAAAGCAGGAAGGGAGCTACTTTGCAATGACACAATAGCGATAAATGAAACAAGAGATTTGTTTCAGTCAGCCAGCTGCCTCCTTATCCGCTAATAACACCACCGAGGATGCAGAGATGTGGCAGTCGCTAATATCCATGAGTCACTTTTGATTTAAAACACTTGGTGCTTGGTCAACGCGGCGTGCAAGCCGACTCTTTTTGCACCCCAGTGTCCCCGGAGAGAAATCAGCATTTGTCTGGTTCTTATCAGCTCATAAGGTCGTCTGCCTCATAAAGTCCTCCTCAACGCAGATGGCAACGTTGAAATAACAGCGGTAAACTTTAATGGCGTTAACAGGATGAAGGTAGAGACGTCTATTGTAGGCCAAGTTGAGGATGCTCCACAGTGAGGGCATCTTAGTTGCTCAAAATATTAAAGAGTATTAAGTATTAAGAGTCTAGTATTTCGAGTGACATATTTATTAGTGTCCGATTAACAACCTGTGGCAGGGAGGATCGGTTATTATGCATCAAAACACTGTATTTTTACCTTCCCATCAATTGTTGCGCTGTTTGATGCGTTTGGTGTCGAAACGCAGACACACACGCGGTCATACAGGAAGCGCGACAGACAGGATTATGCGACGAACACACAAGAGAAGTGAATTGATACGATTAACCACACAACAACCAAGAGGGGTCGTGACTCGAAGCTCACACAATGTGAGCCGCGCGCGTGTGTGTGTGTGTGTGTGTGTGTGTGTGTGTGTGTGTGTGTGTCAGATTTCGGTCGCCTTTGTGTCGACGAACGACGGGTTCGTCGGTCTCACTCGTTCCCGCCTCCGAAAGGGTTCTGAAAAAGGGATCAGATCTAAAAAAAAACCAGCGCTTAGTCACACAGTGATCACAGTCTGAGTTCACAGTCAGACAGAACGCAGACGCACACACTGAAAAGCTGCATGGATTTGACGAATGTCTTCCTTACGCCCACGCCTCCTGCTGCACAGCCGACTACCTGAAGAGCTGTTCATTTTTTGGGCCTAAGCGTCTGAATGCGAGCTTAAGCTGCACAAATAAACTCGACCACACTGTTGCACAAGATGGACATGATTCATTGACACACACACACACGTGACCTGCTGTGACCTTTGAGACGCTTCGTGGTTCAATAATAAGGTTTGCTGCTCCGTCCTCTGCTGATTAAAACAATAAATCAAGGCTTTAATAACACAGCGGGTTCTTTAAGATGCTGTGAAATATGCTGCACATCGGAGTCAATTATCACGCCAAATGTAAGCAAGGAGAAAGATTAAAAAGCTGCAAAATTGACTCCAGAAGAAACGTTATGTTCCGTTAAGTAATGAGATATAAATATATAGAGAGCGAGGACGAGAAGCAGACACATTGGGTGTCAGCGTGTGTGTTTGTGTCGGTGGCTTTGATCACTCCGCAGGAGACCTCCCACGCGGAGCGCGAAAACCAACACGCGCACACGTCTGAGCGCGCGCGTCGCACACATGTGCGGATAAAGTGACTCCGTGTTTGCCAGGAACACGAGGCCGTGCCGACGTCTCTCCCCCGGGGGGAGCGGCACGTGCAGCAACGAGCTTCTTCTACATTTCAGCCCTTCTTCTGTGGTCGACTGCATGTTGCTGACGTTATAAGAAAAGAAGGGGGGGGGGGCAGCCGTTTTGCACCACCTGACCACATGTTTGCGCCCACTGTGTGTCCCTGCAGGGCATGCGCGTGCTGGTGGACGCCCGGGACAAGCTGGGGCATCGGCTGGCAGAGCTGCGGGAACGAGAAGCAGGGCATGCTGATGATGTCGTGAGAGGGACGCGCCGGCGGCTCGGGGGTCGAGCCCAGCGAGTTCCAGCTGTACGTGATAGCGCTGAGCGCGCTGTGGGCCGACGCCGGCGTGCAGGAGGCCTACGCTCGGCGCTCCGAGTTCCAGCTGGTGAGTTTATTATGGGAATCACGCAGCTTTTGAAAGAGATTAAAGGTCCCGCGGCGCGGCTGGCTGAGGCTGCAAACGAACGTCTTCAACTAATGATGGTCAAATATTTCAAAGATAATCTCCCATGACTCGTCTGTACAACAAATCGGCCTCGGGTTCGTTGGTCGCAGAGGAGTCACGATCAGTCATAGATTACTCACTGGCTGAAGCTTCCCATTAAACGTGTCTGAGCGGCCAAAGAAAACTACACGACCGATCAGGACGCCCCCTGTTTCCCAGGCTTTGGTGCCAAAGTAGGGAATAAAAGTGTCTACCTTTTATCTTTAAAGCACATCACATCACACGGGGGAACTGAACGAAGCTCGGGACGTTTGTCATTCGTCTCCATCACCATGAGCTGTAAAATAACCTGTGGGTTCAGCTGTTTAGACCGGCGGATATCTGCACAGCAACCAGCCAAGTTTTAAAAACTGGTGCTCAAAACATCAGAGGAAGTCACTGGATACTTTCAGTAATGTTTTGTTTCACCTGTCAGTGAAGTGGAGCCCGTGAAACAGAACAACAGGTTTGGTTTTACAAGCTTGCACGTTTAAAGTGCCTCCGCGCCGCCGGCGGGCCTCGCCGTGCGTGCAGTTCGTTCGCAGTTATTCCGTGCGTCATTGGAAGTGACCACGGCGGCGGCTCGGCTTTCTGTCCGGAGCTGCTCGTGTGACCTTTCACCCTGTTACATTATCAGGGGCCAAACTATCTGGAGTCAGACGGAAGCCACTTCCGTCTTCCTCTCACTTAAAATACTGTAAGCGCGCGCGTGTGTGTGTGTGTGTGTGTGTGTGTGTGTGTGCGGTCAGACCTCGGCTTATCAGGTGTGGCTGGATGATAAAGCCGGCGTGTTGCAGCGGTGTAGACTGGCAGACTTCATCCCAGCTTATAGAATGAAGCTGGTCGTGACACTAAAGCAACCATAACCTGAACACGTATTCAGTCTCCGCGTGCACGGAGAGCGAGCGGCGGGCCGTGGCTCAGTAGGAAACCACAGGGGTTGTGTGTCAGTGTCTAAACCCGAAAGTTGCTTTATAATGAGCAAATGTATATGTATGTATATAAAGTTTGAAATGCAGTTTAAGATTTAGGCCTGAAATATCTGACTCCCGTGTGCCAGAGATCTCCATTGTTACTCTATTAAGTATTTGTCCTGTTTGTGAATCGATAACCGGCCCTGGAGCCTCCACTTCCATTAGCTACTAATAACGTGTGATTAGAACGGCTCCTCTTCCGGGTCCAAGCTGCACCCTTTCATCAAGCTCCATGAAAGTGAACGGACAGAAGGGAAATCAAAACCTCTGTGGCGCGACACGCCGCTGCCGACGGGCAGATGACACCTGCCGCTGCGCAACACGCCACAGATCAGATAAGCGCTGGCACGTCGCGCCGCGCTGGTCTTTGTCGCGGACAATGGGCGGAATCTAAAGTATTGAGACTTTGGCTAACGCACCGTTTGGTTTTCGGGGCTTTGATGTGTGAGAGAAACATAGAAGGGACCAAAGAAAGGGGAATAGGAAATGTCTACTGTGGAGTAAAATGTGCTGAGTTGGTGGCTCGGCCCGCGTTCCTCTCCACACTCTGAGAGGTTTTTCCGGGGGGATACCACGGTCAGCTTTTCCCTGACAGGGCTGGAGCTCAGCCACCGGCTGACAGGGAGGAGAGAGGGAGAGAGAGGGAGAGAGGGGGAGAGAGAGGGAGAGAGGAGAGGTACAGATAGTGGGAGGAAAAAAAACAACAATCCGAAAGCAAGGATTTTGTTTACTCATTCCGTGATCGCACCACACCCAGATAACACACGTATGACACGGCATGAACGCCCACTGCTGCTGCTCGACGAAAAGAAAGCAGTATATGTACATATATATATATATATAATCACGCTGCTGTGGTCTTTAGCATCTGCGCCCTGAACAAAGGAGGCCTTAATAGACGCCCTATGGGGGACTTTGAAGCCCCTCAAAGATGTAAAGAGGCTATAAATGCCGAAACACACACACACGAGCGCACAGTGGACTTTATGATCTTTATTCATCCTTGAAGTCTCTGCTGCTCTTAACCGTATTTACGGTATGTAACAGTATCAGCGGGCGTTCACAGAGGGGAAAGTCTCCGGGCTGATTCCCTTCTGTGGTTCTTCCTCCTGGGACACATTTTCTGATTTATTTCTATTTGTGTCAGCAAAGTGCTGGTCTGGTCATGAGACTCACGCAGTTTTGCCGTATGATTCCGAAAGAAAACAAACTGGTCTGGTGGGTCAAAGTTGAACCAGGAAGTGGAACGGCAAGCCGATGGATGTCTGTAGTCGCTGTAGTCTGGAGGTTTGTTGGACTGTGCGAGCGGTCCTGCTGCTGCAGCATTCGTAAAACGAACGTAACCCGATGCCTCCACTTTATCAAGGCTGAGGTTTCATTACTGTTGCTGATATATAGGGGCGACCAGTGACATTGATCTTGGCAGCAGGGGGAGGGGGGGCGGCGTCAAACCGTCTCTGAGCGCTCCTCGGAGAAATCCCCTTCCCCCCCCCCCCCCCCCCGTTCCAACCAGCCCCTCCTCCGGTCCTCGTCCAGCCGAACCAATCAGGGTCCCTCTGCTTTGTGTTTCCTTCTGCTGTGACACTCGAGGTCAGCGGCGATGGGTCACAGGGTCACGTGACCCATCGCCGCGTTTCCTGGTGGTTTACGCGGCGTGTCAGGGGCCCGACTGAGATCGATCACCGGTTCTGTTCAATCAGCCGGACAAGGACGGAAAAATCTGCCAGGTTTTAAGGTTAAAAGGGGATAACTGATCGACTGTAGTGACGCTCGTGTGTGTGTGTGTGTGTGTGTGTGTGTGTGTGTGTGTGTGTGTGTGTGTGTGTGTGTGTGAGAGAGATATGCTAAAAAGACTTTGTAACTGGGTTGTGTCTGACTCGCTAATCCCTCCGTCCCCCCGTCTCTCCCCACTGTTTCCACACACGCAGCTGTTTCCTGTTGAATGTGTGTGTGTGTGTGTGTGTGTTTAACAGAGATGCAGGTTTTTAACTCTTTTCAGAAACCACAAGTATAAATAATAATATTTATTATAATATATATAATATATTTTTTTGTTTCAGCACTATAACTAGAAATGTACAAAACGTTGTGTTCGAGTCGAGTTTCCAGAATCTGCTGATTTGTTCTCAGCACAAACGTTGCCCGAAAAATCGGATTTATTTATAAGTCATTAGGTGATCTGTTGTGTGTTGTTGTGTCCGGACGCGCGGGGTACGGCAGGTTTTGTGAGAGCTTTAAAAAGAGCTTTGCTGATGGAAAAAATAAATAAAAGCGAGATGAGAAGGTCCACAAAAACAAAGTAATGATGTCAAAGCCGGTAAACAAGCCCGATGGATCTGAGGGGAAATACAGAGTCGGGTGCAGGTTCGTGACGACAAGAGACTCCAATCACATCACTCACAGCCTTTTGATCAATAGTTAATGGAGGACTATTGATCAGTGCGGCTCTCATGTCAGATTACAACACACTAACAAAGACTATTGGCACAACCATGAAAGTGGCCTTACGAATAGCAGAATGAGAATTTAAAGCATGATGAGACTGATGTGAATGTGGTGAGTAGGGTTAGTTACATGCACGCCGTCCTTTTTATCTAATTTGACAGGAGCCTCCGATTGATGTATTATTAAAAAGCTAACCAAATTACGACTGTTCCACGAAATGTTAATCAAATAAATAAGAAATACCAGAAATCAATGTTCTAATATTCGGTTTAAGTGCTTTGATTTGACCATTTGGGTCCTTTTAATCTCATTTAAGTCCGATCAAAGGCTCTTATTTTGTTACATTATAGACTACACATGATCTGGTTAATTCTGGTCTGGTTCGCGTCCCGTTACTCGACGTTGATCGATTTGTACCCTTCCTGTAATTAGTCAGACCCATCCAAAATAATGCTTCCCTCTAGGAACAAACCGGGCCGAGGTTCAAGTTCAAGTTGTTTTACAAGGATCAAGTTGAAAAGTCTGAAATGAATTTCCTTTTCTTCTTGTCCGCAGAGCGAGTCGGTCAAATACTTCCTGGATAACTTGGATCGCATTGGTCAACTCGTGAGTCACCGCTGAAGTGCACTTTGAATTTCTTAACCTCTCTCTTGACCTTTTGTAACTTTGTAACTTGTAAACATTTTGCCTCCTATTTTCCAGAACTTCATCCCGAGCAAGCAGGACATTTTGTTTGCGAGGAAGGCGACGAAAGCTATCGTGGAGCACGACTTCGTCATAAAGAAGATCCCTTTCAAGATGGTGGACGTGGGAGGGCAGCGGTCCCAGAGGAAGACCTGGTTCCAGTGTTTCGACGGGATCACGTCGATCCTCTTCATGGTTTCCTCGTCGGAGTACGATCAGGTACAAATCAAACGCATCTCAGCGCCTCCATGAGGTTAATCGGACGGTCTGATCGTTACTTTCTTGGCTTCAAGAATTGCAAATTGGACGAGGAGCAACATTTTGAGATTTACACAAAGCTCTCATTGTGGTTGCCTGAGGGAACTTGATTGTTCCAACGGCCACATGATGATGACTGAATCCTTAATTGGTGCTTGCATAAAACCAGAATACATTGTGTGTGTGTGTGTGTGTGTGTGTGTGTCTACGTGCGATTGCAGGTCCTGATGGAGGATCGGAGGACGAACCGCTTGGTGGAGAGCATGAATATCTTCGAGACCATCGTCAACAACAAGCTCTTCCTCAACGTGTCCATCATCCTCTTCCTCAACAAAACCGACCTGCTGGTGGAAAAGATCCGCACGGTGGACATCCGCAAGAACTTCCCCGAGTTCAGAGGCGAGCCACGCAGGCTGGAGGACGTACAGGTAAATATACACCGTGACAACACCACAAGGAAGTCATTTCTGCTGCTTATGTGGCGTTAAACGATCCAGATATGCGTCCATGCATTCACACGGAAGTGAGCGCGCTTCCTTCCCCGCACGAGCGCAGGCTCTCGGTCATTAGTGTTTACAGGAATACGATAAATCACAATAATCCAAACAAAGACACAGAGTGTGCATTCCAGCTGGGTGCTCAACCGCAAAATTGTCGCTCCCGTCCCCACGCGCCTCAAAGGTAGTCGTGCTTTAAAACCGACGCTGTTGCATTCTTGCATTCACGTGTTGTTTTCCTCAACGGTAAGACGTTATCGGGGAGTAAATATGCGCGTATACTCTGCTTCCTGGCAGGCGTTCCTGGTGCAGTCGTTCAGCCGTAAGAGGAGAAACCGGGGGAAGCCGCTCTTCCACCACTTCACCACGGCGGTGGACACTGAAAACATACGCTTCGTCTTTCACGCCGTCAAGGACACCATCCTGCAGGAGAACCTCAAAGACATCATGCTGCAGTGACCCGCGGAGGGCCGCTAGACGACGGCTTCTCCGACTGTGAACTGTGAAACCAGCCATTAGCCCGGGCCCGCAGGACGCCGCGGCCCTCTGGCGCACATTAACACTGACCTGTGGAGGAGGGCCGGCGCATTTAACTGAAACCTGAACCCGCGGAGCCCCGGAGCGACCCCTGACCTGTGGAAACTATGAGGGTCGTAGAGGACAAGGCCCTTGAATATAACCTGCATTAATGCGTGTGTGTTGGAAAGATAGCCGCCTACTTGTAGCTGTGGTGTTCTCGCCTTCACACACAGGTCAGAAAAAGTTTTTAAAAAAAGAAGAATAGAGAAAAAGCACCAACTACATGAGCACTGAAAGTGTTTTTTTCTAAGATGTATATATGTGTGTGTGTGAGTGTATATGTGTATATATATATATATATATATGACTATTGACATCCCTGTCACTAAACACAAAAGTCACCGGGGGACACGTAGCAGGACCGAGCTGTGTGAGCGGGAGGCAGGAAGGATTTAGGGAAGTCGAGAGCGAGCTGAAGAAGGCCTTGTCCTAAGAGTCCACGTGACGCGGGGGGGGGTGGGAGAGGGAGGAGGGTTTGGGCTCCGGTCATATGCCGTGTTGTGTGATACGGTTGCACAAGTGTTCCTGTCAGTGAACTTTTTAACGGAGGAAAAAGACGATCTTTACCTCCTGTGTTCATAACTCCCGCCACCCTGCGCGAGATGAACAGCTGCAGATAAAAAAGTCCTGTCCCGCAACCCTCCTCTGCCGCACAATGGACGGACTGTTCGGCTCCTCGCTCTGTGGCAGAAACGGGAGACGGTCAAATTAGAGACTTGTCTTAGTTCGGAGAAACGCAGAGACACACAGCTCAGGGTCTTTCTTGAATTACGGTCCTTCTCCATCCCCGCGGCCTTTCCTTCCATATTCCGCCAGCGTCCCGGCAGAAGCGCCACAATAGCCGAGATTTAACCTGAACTGAAAGAGGTTCCCTTCACAGGAAGGCTTTGCTGTGCGGCGAGACTAATAGCTTGTGGTTAAACTGTAAACGCGAAGGGAACGGCGGAGAATGGCGCCGTTGAACTGCAAAGGGCCGAGTCGCCGTGTTGCCGGCGGCCATTTTGGATTTCTGCCGCAGTCGCGAGTCGGAACTCAAATCGAGAAGGATTAGCACGAAACAAACACGCCCGATTGATCAAAACACATACGCTGATTATACACAATCGGCTACGTTCCTGCACCGTTCCTGAGTCCGGTATTTTCTTCACACCTTCGAGTTAACATTTTTAGAATGTTTGTTTAGGTCTGGTGCTGCGACAGCTGCACCAGACCTAAAAATCAATTGATTTTAATTTACCAAGCAAACGAGTCGGTGACGGCTTTTCAGATGTGTTGTGTCATTGGGAGTGGAAATTGCCTTTACTATTTTCTGACGTCATAATGCCGTTCAAGTGAATATTTTCACATTAACAACAACAAAATTACTGTTAAGATGTCGTTGGCTCTGTAGCTCCCGTCAGCTTTAAAGAACGTTTAAGCGTCTTTCAGCTCGTTGGTTGTTGTTGTTTTTTACAACCGGCCACTCAGTTCACTCAAAGCCACATAACACAGTTTCCTCTGTAGATGGTTGAGACCAAACAGGAGCTGAAAGCGGAGTGAAACGTCGCTGTGGCTCTTCCCCCTTTGACTTCGATTAGACACCCAGTGGCCACATTACCAGGCACAATGTCTTCAGCACCACGAGGAATCCATGCCAGTAATTCGGCTGTTCTAGATGTAAAAGTGGGTCCTACCGAGTATTAGAGGAGTGTATCTAACGGAGTGGCCACTGTGCGTTTTGATGTTGTGTGTCCACAGCTTTTGGTCCAAAAATAAAAACCAAAATTAATAACTAATAAAAATAATCACTAGCTGCAGCCACCATGAAGAAAACTGATGTTGCTATGGTTACCTGGGAGTTTGTTTAAACGCCGTCTCTGTGATTTTAAAGGGTAACTGTTGGTTCAGCAGAAAAATGCATCGTGAAACATCATTTAAAACCCTTCCAATCAGTTTGCGTGTTGATAATTTATGAGCAGAACATTTTTGATTCCCAACATTTGCATGATTTGGTACGCAGCAGAAGGACACGGCGGGGCTGCGCCTCCCACCCTGAGTATTCAGTCCACGCGGCCTCGAGGGGAATGAGGCGGCTCATTAGCACTTCCACCGCACGGCTTGTTATTATAATACTGTATTAACTCAATTGTATGTATTTGTGTGTGTTTGCATAGTGACTTAAGGCCCTTTTCTGTGCATGTTCATACATCTTGCACATAGAATACTGCAAGTATTTGACTGTGCGTAGAAGTGGTAACCGGACAGCACACACACCACTCTGTCTAACAGTCTCACTGTAACTGTAACGTCGCTGTAACATTTGTCCTTGACTAACCTACCTTTACCACTCACGCAAGTTGTGCTTTTTTTTTTGTTGTTGTTGTAAGTGTCGTCATTGCACTGGATGCGCGATCCGAGAGAAAACAACCAGAAAGGAAACGTCTGGGGGAAATGAAACAAACAAAATTAGCGGCAGAATGAGAAGAGGGAGGTCTTCTGCCTTTTTCTTTTGTTTTTTGTTTTTTTTTATGCTTCCCGGTGCCTTGGCTTTGTGCTCTGTGGTGAAATACACTGCCGTTTGCTGACATGCTGTTTCTTTATTTTCTCAGCGTGGGCGTCTGCGGGCGTTTTGAGTGTGTACGGCGAAGCGAGAGGTCGAGAACCTCTGCGTTAGACAGTTGCCGAGGGATTAGAAGCAAGTAGGGGAAAGGCAACGGGTTATAGAAGAAGAAAAACATGTTTTGATGAGAGGAGAAATGAATTCAAGTGTGTTTTTCTAATGTCCTGGGGCGTGTTTCATGAACACGAGAAGCCCTCCTCTCAAGCCAGAGGGTTGATAAGCACTGATCTGAAGTCTGCAGGCCGACCGTGTAGGCTTTCATTCCACGCAGCGTAACACGACGCTCATCACACCGCCGGGTGAAGGCTGCCAATATCTGCGTGACCCAGCAGGGTCTGACCTTTGCTTTGGCTTTTAATCAGAGGAGCTGTGATACATAACAGACTGCCGGTCTCAAGAGAGAGGGAGGGAGCAGCAACTCCACCGGAGTGTTTAAAAAAGCGCCGGTTATCGTAGATTTTTCTCGCACAGGAAGCGAGTAGAATGTGATTCAAGGTCTACACGCAAACACCAGCGACAAGAGTGGACCAAAAGAGAAAAAGGGGGCAGAAACGACCCCTTTGAATGGGAAGGCACGGACTGGGGGAGGGACGGACAAAGGGAGGAAGAGAGGGAACACAAGAAAAAGGATAGAGGGAGGGAGGAGGGAGGGAGAGAGGTCATGTTTCCTCTGTTGAGCCCACTTCCTGTCCTGATCCCAAAATGGAGAGACTGTAAGAACGACATCCCTCCGCCTGTTTCAGTCCCCCCCCCCCCCGCCCCCCCGCCTCTAATCCCCCCCTCCACCCACACACACACACACACACACACATCAGAGAAACCCAAACCAGCCTCCCGCGGTATCCTACAGAGGAGATGAGAGGAAAAAGCAGGGAGCAGAAAAATATATCCCCCAGCGGTCTCTGAAACACGAGGAAGCCTTCGTTTACAGAGGCAGAGACCCGGGACATTGTGTCCTCAAGTTGCACCGTGTGTGTCTCTGTGTGTGTGTGTGTGTGTGTGTGTTCAACTGAACACACGGCCCTTAACAACGCAGGATGGTTTTAATTCAGTGTTCTTTCGTGACACACTTTTTCTGTTAAAATATTTCCCTGAAGTGATTTAATTCTTATTTTATAAGTTCTACCACGCTAATCTCCCCAATAAACCCTCTAAATTAGCCGGAGCGAACTTCATCAACCACCTGACATGTCCCTCCAGCTACCATGACAACCATCTCGCAAAAACTTGGCAAACAGCCGAGCAACTCGTGCAAATTTGAAATACCGAAAAATAAACACATTAACTTATCAAACGCACTTAGTCAGCAAGGACACACACACTCGGATGCAGCGATCGGTAATTGTACTCCGTATTAATAATATAATAGAGGATTAATAGATACTACAAGATATGACAAAGTACATTTGACTAGCTTAGAGTACACTTGAGTACAACCACAAAATACTACACTATGTGTGTGTGTGAATGAGTGTGTACACGCCTGCATGTGAGCGAGTGAATCTGGTCTCATGACTTTGGTTAAGCTGATGTTTCCCTGAGGCTGTTTTGATTGGACCTACGTCTGAACTCTGATATTTAATAATGAGCCAAGTACTTCCTTGGTTTCTGGCCCTGACACACACACACACACACACACACAATGTGTGGGATAAACCAAACGATGGTAAAGTGAAGCATAAACAAGCAGCGCTTGGTTAGCTGATGACTTGGCCGTGACGCATCGGAGGACCTTGACCAGATGTTTAGGTCCACAGTGACGGTGGAAGCGGCGTTGTGACGTTCGGCCTCCAATCGGCAAACAAATCAATTGCGCTTATGTAAACTGTCGCGCTTTACAAGACGAGCACATGTCTCCCTCTGCTGGTAAAATGCCAGCTTTTTTTTTATATACCTGTTTTAGTAAATAGCAAAGGCCTCAGGAGAGCTTGAAATTGTGGTAAACATGACGTGGTGTTAGTGCAGCAGTGTTGGAGTAATTTACTCCTGCAGGTTGAACAAGTTAGTTGGAATTTATACATTATCGACGTCTAAATTCGACACACTTCCCTCAGTGACCTGTCATCACAAGTAAGTCAGACTTGACTTACGATTAAACTGAAAAGCATAAATTCTTCAACATGAATTAGTGGGTTTTGAATGTGTGAATGTATAAAGAAACCCAGCTGGTAAGGCTTTGACATCTGCATGGCAGGAGGGAGAGTTCACTCAATAACACTCACAGCTGTTACTTCATGGCGTTGAGTGTCGAGTCTGGCGTAGCGTAATTAATGTCTCGGGGTGCATCGCTACTAATGCATCATTTCAATTACAGGCAAACAGCATTATTTGTATCACTCAGATCACTGCAAATATCAGTTTAATCAATTCAAGTCAATCCCATCACAGCTCGCCTGTAACACGACTCAAGACACCCGAGGATTCTGAGTGCTGCACTTTATGCATGAAGCAAACTGATGGGGTGAGAAAAGTGATCTTAGTGCGCAAAAACCAGGGTAAGAAGTAAAGATATTTTATCTAATGAGGGGGAAAAAGTCTTGACAATATTTACTTTGGAATTAGTATTGTGATTTCATATATTTATGGTGGTTTGATATGATGATGAATATTTAATCTACCCCAATGTCATCACGCTACATTTCCCCCAAAATAAATGCTTCTTTCATGTAAAATTAACCCATTTGTATGTAAACTAGGAAGAAAAATACTGTCTTACGGTTCATTTTCTTCAGTATGTTCACAAACCATCATAGACACTTTATTGAATAATTCTTTGGCACAAAGCATCAGTTTAATTCACTCACTCACAAAAAAGTACAAAAGTTGTGATTCTTCATCATTCATTCTACTGCAGACCAATGAAAAAAAAAAAAAACCTTCCTCCTGGAGTTACAGGGAGATACTTCACGAATCTCTGACAGCATTGCGTGTCAGTTTGAAATGCTGAAAAGCTCAAGCAACGTCGACACGCAGGAGTGAAGATATCTTATCAATATAAATTAAATCGGCAAACCGCGAGGTCTCCCTTGTTGCATCAGCGCCTGCGCGCGTTGGTGATCGGTCTCGTTTTGCCCAGAACCCGCCCACGTTTCACAGTGCCAATGACACTCGACTGGTACATTTCAGTACTGCTTCTTTGTGAGGAACAAGGCTCGGTACATTCTGCAGTCAGTGCAGCTTTTAGCCCCAGACGCACACAGCAAACACGCGCAAACAAACAGCGACGCAAACTTTGTGGAGTCTTTGGCGCTCGGAGCAGCTGAGAGAAGCACGGCGGCAGTAAACAGGTTAGAACGGCAACTAAAGCTTCATCCTTTATAAAAACCTGCTCTCCGGTGTGTGTGTGTGTGTGTGTTGCCTACAGTGCTGTGACAAAGTGTGCGTTGTGTGTGTGTGTGTGTGTGTGTGTGTGTGGTGCTGTTTCATCTGGACTTCAGAGCTCTTAACAGGTGAACATCATCTTCGTTTTCATTTATTTCAAATGAATATCATTCTAAAATAAATTACATTTTCCTTTTCCTTTTAGTTTACTGTAATATTAAATAACATTAGTTTAAGATAAACATTTCATTGTTGCGCGTCATAATCTCTCTCTTAGTTATTTTTATTGAATGGCTAATTAATAGAAAGAACAGTGTGTCGTATTTTGGTAGCTCAATTAGCAGAAATGACTGTTATCATTGGTGTGTCACCTGAAACTAAGGATTGTTGTGTTTAGGAAACAGGTTCATGTTTTTACTGTAGTAGAACTTTCAGGGTACTAAATAGAAAAGTTCTGATGGGGTTATATGTTAAAATGTGGTTTAAAAACCTTATTTGTTATTGATATAAACAATAAGTAGTCAGCTTTAGTGGAGGAGAGCTTTCTAATTTAACCTTAGAACAGCTGCAGAAAAATAGAATGCATCTATAAAATAACTCAAGCCACATAAAAACTTTTTCACAGCACTGTACCCGAAAACAGTGCAGGCTTTACAAAAGCAATAAAGGGGCACTTTCTGTCGCTCACATAAAAGTACATCAGTGTGTGTGCACGTAGTCGTGTACTGGTCGGGGTCATGCTATTGCTATTTGCCGTTGGGGGGTAGATAGTACGGGTGGAACAGTCTCTCGTGCGAGCAGATGTGCACAGCGGCGTGTGTGTGCATCAGTAACCGTGGGAACCGGGAGGTGAAGTAGAAGAACGAAGCCGTCGGGCAGCTCGCCGAGGGTCTCCTGCATCTCTCGGAGGCAACTCGTGGTAGTGGTGCTTCTGCAACGAGTCAACATACGCGCGTCACAGTGAGACCGCTTGTGTGTAATGAATAAAAAGTGCCACAGTGAGCGCGCTGACCTTATTCCTCATAGCGCGCAGCAGATCCCTGACCGAGTTCCCTTTGTATGTCCTGAACCGCCTCAGGTCTGCAACGTGCACGGGGGGAGATCACAGGCAATCTCATGGATTCGTCACCCCGGGCAGGACTGAAACTAAGGTGATGCAATGCGCGTACCTGTCTGCAGAGGCACAGAGATGTGCATCCTCCAGTTGGTTCGAACCACCGCTCTCCCCGCGGTCTCCAGTCTGACCACGATGGGACTGTCGGCCGGCTCCTTCTCTATGCGGTCACTCACGTCCTACGCACGCAATCAACTTGTTGAGCGCGCGGGTCGTTTTGCTGCTTTAACTTGTGCATATTAAATGAATTCCACTAAACCAAGAGAGACATCTGGCAAAGCTCGAGTTGTGTTTCCACGGCCCGACGGACCCAACACACCTGGAAAAAGAGCAGCTGCTTCTCGGGGCTCCAGAAGAACGGATGTTTGAGCACGCAGGCGGTGGAGGGCCGCGCCTCCGCCTCCGCGCTGATCATCTGCTCGATCAGGTCCCGCGCTATGACGTCATCTGGTTTGAGGGAGAAACTGGTTTCAGGGTTTCATGTATTCTCACGGTTTGTGACAGGAGCAGATTCTTGCGATCACTTGTGCAATCTGTGCAATGTCTGAAAATTGCATGCAAACCCCCCCAAAGACACCGAATTTGTGCCATTCTGGAGTTCACCGAAGCAGCTTTGTGTGGGTGGTTATGCACCAGGGGACGCTCTCACCGTGCATATCCTCCATAAAATGCGAGAGGCAATATTCCCCTGACAGGATGTTGACCTGCCGTCTTAATGGGTCACCAAAGGGGTGCTGCCCCCTGCTGACCACGAAGTAGAACACACAGCCCGCCGAGAAGACGTCCACCGCGGCCGTCTGAGAAGAGGAGAAACACCGGAGCACAAAGTAAACACTATGTGTCCCTAAAAACACAAACAAAACTTGAAAATAAAACATTTGAATTAGCATTACAACCTGAAAAGCGGGTCCCTCCCATCCGCAGCACTAGCTACATAGAAACCTGTTTAATCATCTATTATTTTCCCTCTCACGATGTTATAAATAAGAATATATGATACATATGTAATATGTAACATGTATGTGTGCGCATGTTACCGGTTTGTTGCCTGAAGTCCTCCCATTAACTCCGGGAGCGATTCACCCGTCCGTTCCCGGGATTCCGGACCGCAGAGAGAAGCTGCTCCGGCCGTCTGGGATCTTCTTACAGAGTCCAAAGTCGGAGATGAGGGCTCGGACCCGACCCAGCGCACCGGGACCGGAGAGCAGAATGTTTCTTGGCTTCAGGTCACGATGGACTAAAAAAAGGGACAGACGATAAAGGGAAGACGAAAAATGGATGGATGGAAACACGGTTATTGAGAAGGGGGAGGGAGGGGGAGGGGGGGGGTGTAAATGAATCTATGTGTGGGTGCATCTCAGACCTATGTTGAGTGAGTGGAGGTGTGAGAGGCCACACATGGTCTGTCCCAGCAGAGTTATAGGATTCAGCTCAGGAAAGCAAGACGGATCCTCAACGTACTGCAGAGAATAAAGATGTTAGGTCTGGTTACTCAGACTGCTCAGGTTCTTGTACGGTCGAGTGGTCCTCTGCGGCTCACACTAAATACAATCACGAGAGCAGCTCCTCCGCTGCTCTTTAAAACTTTGGCAAAGATGCTCAGCAGCCTGTCGTGGTTTCTAATACCCGTCAGAAAGGCAATCATAGGCGTTAAAGCAGCCTTCTCTGCAGAACAACTTGTACAGACAGGTCTAATGCATAATAATCTAGAAAAGCCCCTGAGGCCCCTCTTCTACTTCCCTGCCAAAAACAAATCAACTCAAAAAGTCATTTAAATAGCCTCCAGTCAGAGGAACTCATTACTTAAACATGTTGAACAAATCAGAAAAGAATATCAATGTTCTTTGGGGGTTTATTTCAGGAGGCTTCACAGCCCCACAGGAGGTCCTTTGGTCAAATTATCTGAAAAAAAGCCTTCCTCCTCAGAGCCTTTGTAAGGAACTCTGTTTGAAAGCGATGGCAAACTGCGTGGCGTCGACGACAGGAAGTGACCGGGTCCTGCGGGGCTGACCTGTTGCAGGGTGGCGGCGCACAGCTCGATGGCAATGTAGGTGAAGAGGCGGTCTCTCTCCGTGCAGTAGTACCGGATGACGTTGGGGTGAGTGTCGGACTCTCGGAGGAGCTGCACCTCACGCTCGGCTACCTCGAAACACTCCGGCAGTATTCGCTTCACCGCTACGCGCCGCCCATCGAAATTACCCCTGAAGTCCCAAAGGACAGAGGGGCCATGGTGTGTAATGCAGAGTACTTTATGCGCATCACAACAGTTTATAGAAGAAATGAAGTGGGTTGCTGGTAAATACGTGCAGGTCTTGTTCATGGTTAAGCCCATTAACTCAATTCTGTGTGCGCCTCGTCTTTCCCCGGCACGCCGTGCCACGTACATTTAGTTTGGTTTCCACAGTAGTATAAAAAACAACTACGTCCTCTTCCCTGGAGACGTGTCGTGAGGTCGCAGTTGGAAAACACATGAAATTTAGTCCCCTTTTTGTTATATTTATATGCTGTATATTACGGAAAGATGATTGAACAGCATTCAATATTCAGCTGCCCTTTAACAAAATGGTAATATGCTTATTCTGCCCAAATGGTGAGGAAACAATATCCTTAAATGCGGAGAGTACACCGTTTAGCGCCTACAATAAAACACAAATACTGTACCTGAAGACAAAGGTTCCCGCTGTGCCGTGTCCGAGCACCTGAGACGGCGTGAAGGAGATTTTACCCACCTGCACCTCCTCGCTGTTTCCTTCTGAGAGAGGAAGGAAAGACGAATGAAGCAGCAGGATTATTCATTTCATTTCATTGGTGCAGGACAGAAGGAAATGTTACCTGGGGGTTTGTGTCCAGCTGTGCCGTTTCGATCCACATCTGGGGTGCTGCTGCTTTGAGTGGGAGGAGGAGGTGGCGGGTCGGCAGATGCAGGCGGAGAGTCTGGGTACAAAGAAGTCCAGATCAGCAGGATGATTGGGTCTTTTTTATCAACCCAAATTTAAAAAAATGGGTGTGAATAAAATATTCAAGATTTGGAGGATTTTGAGAGAAAACCAACAGCTTCCACACTTTTTAATAAACCTTATGCAATGAAAAGGAAAGTGTATAATCATTGAACTGGAACCTGTGGTCAATAAATACTGGGAATAAAAGAGGACTTATTTAATTAGTCACTTACCACACGGGGGGTTTGTGTCAGGAGAAACCGACGTGTCTGAAGAGGCCGAGGTCACCGTCTGCATGTTGGTCTGCAGGCGCTGGAGACGAGACTCGAACGCCTCCTCCAGCTGCCGCTGAGCCTTCAGCTGATGAGCAGCACGCTGGAGGAACAGAGGAACGTCACATGAAACTCTGTTAGAAGATACAGTGATGGGAGCTCTTCTTTGAGAGACATTTTATGAAACTCTTTTACAGTGCTGTCAATAAAAAAAACTCTGATTGAACCCAAATTTGAGGGAATAGCCCCATAATTATTTTAGTAAAAAATGATCAACAGATCATCAAAGCATGAATTTACAAACATTGACATGATTATCTCCATATGAAATAACCACACTGAGTTTTATTCTAAAAGCACAGCACCTCCAAAAAGGTTTTCTTTATACAAATATAATTGCTAAAAATTGGTGCATTGGTAAATTTATTGTGCATTTCACGTTTTTTATTTTTCTCCCCTTAGGTCTGTTATTAATAAGTCACATATATAACACAAGAAACATCACAAAGAGCTGAATATATTATTGATTATTGCAGTGAGAATTTATTATTTCACCTGTAGTTAAGGTTGGAGATTTCTTTAAAAAAAAAGTTATGTTTACATTTATTGACACACAAGCCGTACAAAATGCATGTCCTTGTTTAAATCAATGACCTCTTTCTTCTTCTGGTGCATTGCTGCATATTTTGTAGTGTTCCCACCACATAATCAACCTGAACAACGTAACGGTGTTACACTATTTACAGGAACGTTCCTCCAAGAGAACTTCAGGGGATTCCTCTCCCGGTTGCACCATCACCACGCACAAAGAGCTACGCACGCATCTTACCACCGGACGGGCACGAGACACAAACTCACCACGGGGTACGTGAGCGCGAAGGCCAGCCACCCTCCCAGCAGCAGCGTCAGGACCGCCAGAGTCAGGCGGTCCTGGGTCAAATAGCCCGGCAGCACGGCGGCCGGCCTCTGGGTCTGTCCCGCCGCCCTCCCGTCGACCCCTCCTCTGTCAGCGTCGCTATGGCGACCAGCGACTGTCTCGAACTGGGGAGGACACAATATGACAACTCTATCTGTGGAGGTCGTCCCCGCGGTCAGTGGGGGCGTTTACAGGGAAAGCGGACGTTAAAGGGGCATTTCGTGTGGCGGGCGTTAACAACGTGAAAGAGGAGGTGACTCACGTAGCGCTGGTGGTAGTAGGAGGCGGGCGAAGCAGAGGAAGGTCGAGGGGGGATGACAGCCTCACCAGAACGCTGCAGGCCGGCTGGGAAATCCCTGAGCATGGTGGTGTGAGCCACTGGAGGGAGCTCGTGATGACCTAAAAAACACACAGATATGAAGCCTGCAGAGACGTTCGAGTATCTGCGTTTCTGATCCCTCGGGCCAAAAGAGAGCGTTTAAGTTTTGAGGCAATCTCGTGATCTTTGTTCTTTGAGTTTTGATGCCAAACGCAAAGTGAGAACGCCTAGAATGATGGCGATATCCATCTGTCTTATCTCAAAAAGTAAAAATAAGAGCTCGACATTGAAATACGCGAAGATATGTTGCTGCTTGAAAACACAGTCGTCCTCCACGAGTCACCGGCCCGGAGCGACTTGTTTGTTTTTTAAATCATGCTCATGTTATCTGGTCTAAATGCAGACGTTCTGAAAGGATCACCTATAAAACAAATTTAAACCAGAATTCCCCCTGATGATGCATAAAGATGATACCAACCTCCTTAAGATTGTGTTGGCTTAGAAAAGCCAGTAAAACTCTTTGTCAATATTGTTGAACACATTTATCTTCTAGAACAAAGGATCTACTTCTAATTCATGGTTTGTTGTGGATAAAAGACACCAGGGAACAAACTTTTGAACTACATAGGACTTCTTTATTGGACAAAAGTCACCGAGCTGTCAAAGGGTTTTCATTGCTACTGCATAACATCCAGTGTGTGTGTGTGTGTGTGTGTGTGTGTGTGTGTTCACCTATAAGCAACCAGTGGTTTTTCCGGCTGTTTGTGCTTCCTGCTGGATAGCGCACGTCAGTGACCGGCGTGATCTCGCACTCCCCTTGCTCACTGACCGTCACTCCCGCCGTGACGGGACCCTCGATTCGAGCCAAGGTCAGTCCCCGGGGCTGCCATGGCAACAAGGACAAAACAGCAAATGTGGATTCCTCCGTGCCCGACACAACTGATCTGGTCATAACTAATCGTGTTACGCCGATGCATAACTGGGCTTCATACGGGAAACCAAATGTGTGTGAATACAGTTATTTGATAACATGTCTAAACTCACCACCAACGAGACTCCGTGGTGGACGAGGGAGGTGGAGGCGTAGAGGTGGGAGTCCAATTTTCCTACATAGAGAGTGGGTCTTAAAGAGGAAACAAAGTCAATTATTGATTCATCAGGATACCTAAATAAAAATGTAGAGATGATAATGTAGTTTTAATGAAAGGAACCGCTTGGTCTCAGGACAAAAAAAAGAAGAGATTGAAATCGGGTTCGCCACGTTAATAATTCACCACGAAGCCGAAGCGCTTTCTTTTATCCATGCAGTGACACTTTGTCTTACACGAGCTGTGCTTGTGCGCTGGCTTGCTCCTTCACAAACTGATAGCTCCACTTCAAGGTCGAGTGCGCGTCTTCCTGCTCGTTGGCAGAGGAGAAGGTGAGGAATCGCAGCGTTTCCATGGCGAGGGACAGGTGAGGGGCGTGTCTCAGCGAGTCGCCAGAGTACAGGTAGACCCCTACGACGGGCGAGCCGTAGTTCTGACTCCACAAGACGTCACCTGGGCGACAAAAAGCATCGCGGCGCTCAAGAGCCTCACCAGGACAAGTAAGCGCCGCCACCTAAAAGGAGGCCGAATGCTCAGTGAAGCACAAACCACACACCTCCACCTACCTGTCTCTCTGTCAACGGTCACAACGAGACCGTCCCCACTGGACACGAGGTGGGCCATCTCTGGAAGGACAGGGACAACGGGACAATTTGGAATCAAACATCTTCGAGTTCTTTCAGCAGATTTCACACGTTCTCGTAGGTTTCAAATTAATAGTCTGGTTGTTTTAAATTGAAATATGAATCTGGAAAGTACTCACATTCCACACTCCACCGAGGTCTAAGCACACACACACACACACACACACACACACGCACACACACACACTAACACACTAAATCTGCCATTTAAATACATATTCATGCATCTTAAATCTACTTATCACAGTAATTATGTATGAAAACACACTCACAGACAATTATGAAATGCATGTTCCAGATGTTGGTTTCTTTTTACACTTTTGAGAAATCTTAAGAGGAAATCCAGATGTGTGACAGACTATTAACTCCATAATATGTTTGACAGAAGCCTTTTGACCGATTTTGGAAATATTTTGCCAAAGAAGGAAAACAGGACTGAAAACTTCTGGGTGGACATGTAAAGTTAAATTAGAAAACACTAAAAATGCTCACGTGCACTAAAGTTCGTGCACGGCCGGCCTGGGTATGTAGACAAAGAACAGAGCAGCTCGGATAACAACTCAAACCGACGGAGAGTAACTTGGTTCTCTGCTCAGGTAGACAAATCTCCGCTGTGACTTTAATTAGAAAATTCTTTGCAGCATTATTGATTCTCTGAATTACGTCGAGAGAAAAGTCCAAAAGACGGGACATTAAAACAATACGTATTCATTGAAGTGACGACAAGTCGCTGCTGTAGGTCCCCCTGAACACACCGATACCTAAATATTGGTTTTGTTCCAGATGCTTTTTACAAAGTAGGTCCTGTAAGTGTGTCATCAGCTCCTATTGACATTGAAGTAGTAAATCTACACAAGCCTCCATAACTGAATGTGTGCGCAGGTGGTGTGTGCAGGCGTGTGTGCGTGGGAGACGTACTGTAGTCCTGTTTGTCATCGTAAGGTGGAGCAGAGTAATCATTGTACGTGGCGTTCCATCGCAGCTCTTGGGTCTTGGTGTCAAACATGGTGACCATGTATTCTAGAAGGAAACAAAAAACAGGCTCAAAGTTCACGGACAGAAATCCAGAACGAATGAGAACACTGTTCACGTGTTGATCAACCTTCAACAAAGACCAGCAGGTCCGTCCTCCCTCACGTGAAACTTCCTCCACCACCTTCAACTGGAGGAGCTTTCAAAGCAATGTGTTGCCATCATCGGCGTCGCCTTGACAACCGAGTACCACATATATCTACTACGGTGAAGTCTACGACTTTGAATTGTCCTTTCATATCTGTGTGCTTGTCTCCTCCTTCTCCATGTGGAAATAAATGCTTTAATGTTGGTGGGCGCGACGTACCTGTGCGTCCGATGTAGAGCAGAGGAGCGTTGGGGCAGATGGATTCGGAGGAGGAGGTGGTTAAACTGGTTTGCTTCTCGCCCGTCTCAGGATCCACCACAAACCAAACATCCTGCTTTTTACCTTCACGCACACACACACACACGCAGACATGCAAATGTTAACAATCAGCACCAAAGCGTAAATGACATACATGTCTCATTTCAGTCACCTCTGTCTCAAAAACAGGACGCGAAACACCCACACGCTGTCTCACCTGTATAGAGGATACCATCAGAGCTCCTGCAGGGAGCCGACTGAACCAGGTCTGGGATGGTGAAGGGCAGTTTCTGCAGGTACATCCGAACAACGGTCACATGGTGGAAACTGACACACGAAAACAGACACACACACACACGCTGCATTGTTTACCATCAGGCCCTCCTTGTGTTTGCCGCCCAGGACGTACAAACTGCCATCATTGGGGTCCGGGAGGAAACCGGGCCTGTAAAAACAACAACAACAATACTTTTACCTCTTCTAGCACCAATGCTTTATGAAATACGTCACCAATGCTTTCGTGAGGGTCAAACTATCTAATCCAGGAATAAGTACAAAAGACCAGAAATTATTTTTTTACATGAATGAATTCAATACTTTTGCTTTTTAGACCAAAAACCCGTCCAACATGTGCACGAGGACTTGCATGAGTTACTCACTCTGTGAGGTACACAGGTACTTGAATAATGGGGTCTGAAAGAAACATAAAAGAAGCATATTTCAGAAGACGATTCTAAAATGAGACAGTACATGACGTGTGTGCGCGTGAACCTTCTCTTAGGGTCCACTTGATTTCTCCTGACTGTTTGGAGACGGCGTGCAGACTGCCGTCCAGGGTGGAGACGAACAGGAGGGATTCTGGGAGGGTGACGGGTCGGACCCCTCCGACCTGACGGGCAAGAGAGGGGGAGAAACTTTGAGGCACAGCTGGATGTGTGGATGTGTCAGGGTCAGGTCAGGGGTCAACAGTCGAGCAGGTTCCTCATCGAGCAGGATGTCCCACCTCACCCTCACCCCCTCACCCCCACCCATCACCTCCTCCCAACACATATACCCAACTCTAAGGAACTTGTGTGTTCACCACTCCCATATTTACCCACCGGCTGTGTGGTACGAGCACACACACACACACACACACACACACACACACAGTATTAACTTTCTTCAGGCGATTTGAACTAAACGTCATATCATCATATCATGGCAACTTTACTCGAGCCTGAAATAGACACACAAGGCGCAGCTCCCCGATCAGTTTGACCAACAACAACATCCACAGCGTAAAGTCGCGCGCGCCGTACCTGGAACAGCTGGCCTTCCCAGCAGGACAGCAGGAGGAGAGACAGCAGCAGACGGGCCACAGACCCCGTGACCCCCAGAACTCTTTGTTTCATGGCTCTGAGCGAGCGGAGCAGCGAAGGCTATTCAACTAACAACAGAGGTCGAACTCTCTCTCCATTTCCAGCGTCCATCCGTCAGAAAGTCGCTTCCCAGCGGCCGTTCAACATTGCAAAAAGCCGCGCGCGCAGTTCCTCCCCCAAAAAATACGGTGTAAGTTAAGTTAAGCAGTGGCGCTTTAAGTCCATAATAACAGCAACGCGGCCACTCGACACGTTTCCGTGTTGGGACGGAACCGGTGACGTCAGGAGGGAACTGTCAAGCAGCGAGGGGGGCGGAGTCCAAACCCTTCCCCTCTGGCCGGTGACGGGCGGCTCGGCCAATGAGAGGAGAGTTGTGGGACAAAAGGGGAGGGGCCGTGGAAGCGGCTGGAACACGTGGAAACAGACAGCAGCACAGTTAACAACGCACCAACAGCGGCTTTTTGTGCAACAGAAAGTAGTGGAGGGCGTGATTGTTCCTGGTTTACTCTCACTATACGCTCCCTACTGCAATGGTGCAATTAAGCTAAGTACGGGTACTACAAATACTGTGTTGAAGTACACATTTTAGGTACTTGAGCATTTCAATTTTATTTAACTAAACTATTCTATATTTATGATATTTACGCAACTCTTTTAGTCCACGAGAATTTAGAGGGGATTTGTACATTTGTTGCTTCATTTACTTTGCTAGTATATTTGATAATCATTTTGCACTCTGTAAGGGGACATTTAGCATAATAAGTATCTTCAATGTTGAAACTTATGGTAAATACTTCTTTAACCTTCTTTTACTGCACTACCTTCATTAAGTTGGAAAACCTACCAATAAAAAGAACTTTGGTGATAAAAATGAAAGCAGAAGAGGGTATCGTGATATTGTGTCTCAATTATGGGTCATGCTCCTAAAATGCTGCATCCTTACACCTACAGAAGGAGTTATTTTCATTAGACCCTCAATTCCTCTTTAACACCCACGTTTTTTAAACCAAAAGTTGGTTTAACCTTTACGGAAAAACCCTCAAAGCATTCAGTTGCTTAATAAGGTCCGTCACACCTTCCGGAGTCTATTAAACACACTTTGCTACAAATTAACTGTTTGACATTGTGCTATTGTGAATTAAGTAAAAGATCCAAATGTTGAATGAACAAGAAGACTTTATTTCTCTGCAACATATTTCCCTTCACAGTCCACGGTTAGCCTCAGTCCTTTTCCCAATGACTTACCAAAATACTAATAACAAAATACTATCCAAAGTGCCTTTAAATGGGGACAACAGACTGGGATACCGCAGCGTGTAAGCAGCTGTGCTTCAGATATGAAATTATGCCAAAAGTGCAACTACCCTGGCAGGCACTTCTGTCTTTCGAGGTGTGCACAAAGCCAGATAGACAAACAGCAACACGGACTGGTCTTCAGAGGCATTTGAGGCGTGGGCCCTGCACACGGTGCAGGCCTCCAGGTCGGCGTGGTCTACTGGTGGAGCGTGCTGTCGGGTTTGGGGTAGCCAAACATCTCAAAGTCCGGTTCGTACAGCTCGTACAGTTCTCTCCTCATGGTCACGGGGATCTGGGCAAACCAGTCTCTCTCCCAGCTGGTCGAAGTGCGGTTTCGCGGCCCCGATGGGAAGCGCAGCAGGCGATCCACCTCCAGGAGCTTCAGCAGGCGCTCCGCGTCCGTTTCCAGGGTCTCTAGTCGTCCAATGAAGTCATACTTCACCTGGCACGGATGGCACAGACGGTAGACCTGAAACACACAGAGTGTGTCTTTCATTATTCACAGGATGTAATGAGGTCGGTGAAGTGTGCGTGGAGTGACCTCACAACACTCCGGGTCATCTCGGAAACGACGGAGCGTTTCCCGGCTGCGTGAGACAAATACCTGCCGCCAGTGTTCGTTGAAGACAGTCTCGCTCTCGGTCTCCGGATCCAGCAGGTACGTGATGAACTGCTGGAATGTCGGCTTGATCCCCGCCGCAAACGCTCAGCCGCCGTCTCTGGCACGCCGCCCGACGCGTTGCCGAACCGCCGCAGCATGACGGAGCCGAACTGCTTGTAGAAGTCCTCGTTGGGCCTTGAAAGCAAACACGAGCGCACACAATTCAAGAACGACGGGGGTGGAATCGATGGCGAAGCCCTCGACTCAAAGGCTTTGACTCTTATCCAACCGTTCACCCTCTCACACTCACACACACACACACACACTCACACACGCACACACACACACGCACACCTTCCAAACTTGTTCCTGAAGGCCGAGATGAGACGCACAAACGGGTCTCGCACAAACAGAAACTTGGTGTAGTGCTGGAGCTTGAGTGCCATCAGGTGGCGGGACAGAGAACCGTAATGGCGCCAAAACCTGGCAAGAGACACAAACGGCACACAAACGCCATGAGAGCAGACCTTCAGTTTGTGGAGAATGAAGTGCTGTTTGAGCACTTTGAGCAGTTTTAAATGAGGACATTTGGCCATAAAACGACATGAAAAACAATGAAGGGGAAAGAATGTCTTGTATATCAGTGGCGATGGAATAAACACGTGTTCAGATATATATATCCGTACGCAGACAGCTCCCGAGGGGCGAAGAAAGGTCTATCTGTGCTGCAGCATCGAACCCCCCCCCCACCCGTCTTTTCCACCCTCCTCTTCCAAGTGACAACTCGGTAAATAGACTTCTTCAGTTCTCAAACTGAATAACAGCATAACTGAATATTTAAGTGTTTTTGTAGAGGCGTCTAAAAGAAGGAACGCCTTGTGCCTTTTTATTAATTACCGCCTCTGCAAAAAGGAGACCGACTTGCTAAAGAGAAAAATCGTACAGCGCTTTGCAAGCCGAGTTCTGGATGGACAGCTTGATTTATTTCCCTTTGTTGTCTTTGTGAGCGCGAGGAGTGCGTGGTTTCTTTGGTATTACAGCCTCGTTTGGATACATTTCTCAGTCTTTCTGTTTTCCATGTGGAACTTTTACTGAGTCGTTAAAATAAATGATAGTGGGCGCTTTGCTTTCTAAGCACAGACGTATGGAATGTGGAGGCTACCTGTCATCGTTTTTACAGTCAATGCTTTTTCCTGCAAAATCCATCAAAACGCCGCTGCAGAGACATATTTATCTTGACATATAGCGCAGATATACTAAATACAACATGGAGTGCACTTATCCTTTAAAATGGAAGATCTTTATGGTACACAGAATATTGATTGTACCCTTGATGCCTCTTGATTACTAATTAATCATCAACTGAGTATTTTGCTTGAATGCTGATGAAAGCTGAGAACGTATCTGTCTTGTCAGTGTGCTGCTAATTAATTAAAAAATTATATAATTTTATATTAGCGTGATAACATTGCAATAACACCCAATATTCCTTTTTTCTGAATATAGCTTGAACTTGAGCTTGATATATATATGTATGGGTGTCATACTTGGCGAAGGTGAGGTGCAGAGAGGAGTTGTGCACGAGGTCAGAAGGCACAGCCAAGGGGTCAGTGTACGGTTTCCCCGAGGACGGCGAGATCAGAGACTGAGACAGGACCACCATCACCCGCTTCCAGTTGGTGCACGCCACCTGGACGGAGGACGGCGATGGAGGAAAAGACAACGGGAAAGAGAAGGTGTTGCAGAAAAGAAAAGAGGGCACGTGAACGCGTGTTCGGGATGTTGACACACACACACACACACACACAGACGCAAAGGGTACCTTGGGGACGTAGCAGTAGATGATCTGGTGAGTATCGTCCACTATCAGGTGATCCAGTTCCCTGTTTGGGATCTGCTCGAATGCCCGAGTCCTTCCGGGGAATTCAACAGCGTCCTTTCCTGAACACACGTCCATTACCCTCTGCTTCCTCGCCTCCTGTTCCCTATCGTCCTCAGCATCTCCCCTTGTTTCCTCCTTCCTCTGTACTTGTTTTTCCTTCCGCTCCTCCACTGTGTGCGCCTCGGCCGCTCCTCCTCTCCCCTCGGGCGCCAGTGTCGTACTCGGAGCGGCGGTGGGGTTGGCGGAGGAGGAGGAGCCGATCTGGGCCGCGGTGGTCGGCCGAGGGCGGGGCGACCCGCGTTTGGGCTCCTGCAGCGGGTGGAGGTTGAAGCCCCCGACGTCGTCCCAGTAGACGATGATCAGCAGGATCATCAACAGAGACCCCAGGACGAACGCCACTCGCAGACCACGCCACGTTCCCATGGTTATGTACTCGATCCAGAGCCGTGATTGGTGGGGAAACGAGGAAGCGGTTATCTCAGCTCCATGGTGGCCTTCTACCGCGTAAAGGCACACTTCATGCTTGCCAGTTGCAACTGAAAGAAACAGGAAATGAAACTCAGTTTGAGTTCCTCATTACGAGCAAAATCATGGTTGCAACTGCACAGTGATCATGAGACGCAAGAAGTGAGAGGAAAAAAGAGATTAGATGGGAGTTGTGTGATATCAGATAAATTATTCAGTAGTTTATCTCACAAAACCCATACTGGGGCTTGACTGACATTGGTGGAAAATAACAAACTACATCCACTAAAGTACTTAATCGGCACTATGCTACTTTCTACTTTGCATTGCCTTGCATTTTAGTGAGGAATGTGATTCTTTTTGCACATTAAACAAACCGTTTATGAATAATGTAACATGACATTTGGAGGGCTGTCTGGGGTTTTAACTGGCCCCTTCCCCACTTCCTAATCCCCTACTTCCTGCCCCCTTGCTTAGACCACAATCTTCATTTCATTTTGATGGCAACTACACAGCTAAAAGGTTTCCTGATTGCCTCTTGCACCGACTGTGATGCTGCAGGGACTAATTCCGTCCAGTCACACAAAACACGTATTAAGAGCTCCTTAAAAAATTATTAATATTGTAAATACCCATTAAAAATGATATTTCATTAATGAAGGGTTTGTACACAAGTCCTAACAGCTCAATCAGTCAAACTTTTTAAACAAATGCAAGCAATAACATAAACGAATGATGTTGAGAGTAGAACATTCTCATCAATTGAATAACTCATAATGATCAACAGTAACATGTTGAGCAGACAAAATTAAATATTTAATTAAAATGAATGATGAAGAAGACATGAGAAAAGGGAATACATTTTTAAAACACGTTAAAAGCCAGACTAAATGTGGTTACCAAGGCAACAGCAAGTAGCACTTCTGATTAAGTTGGGTTCACTGGTTCGGTTAAAACCAATAACAATCACAATGGAACAAATTACATCACACTAACAAAGATTATATCCAGCAAATATGCTCTCCAGGGGACTGCGTCAGACAAGACGAACACAGTCGGGTGAATGTGACAAAACAACCATTCAGGCGCTGCATCTTCGGAGGCTTCTAATCTGCAGGCGGTGCAGAACGCTGACGAGACGAACCAGAAACATAATGAACAATATTGTCTGGAGTTATCATGCGAAAGGTGCTAAATTCACTCACAGTGAAAATGATCATATAGTAATAAATAATATTAATAAAGCTAAATTAATTGAGGTTCTTTGTAGAAATTAAATCCATGTACTGTGGGTCTATGGGGGAACTTAACACATGAGCGTTGACACAAAGACGTTCTGCATCAATCATAGTAATTAGGTAATAAACTTTAAATAATAAAGTTATTGCATTCTTTTTTAAATTGTAATGCAATATGAATAAAATTACTTTGCTTTACATATTTAAAGGACAAGTGACAATTAATCAAATAAAATCTTTAGGAAGAGTATCTTAAAAAACTTATGTAGAAGTTGGCCTTGAAATACATGTTTTTCTTCTTAAAACGTCCGTGTATAATACGCAGGAGTATTCTTACATTGAGGTGGACGATTTACTCAAGTATCTCATTACGATGTAGGAAGGAAAGCAATGCACCCTAATTGTTTTTCCATGTTCAGGTCCAAATCTCAAAGGGAGCATTTTTA